TGGGAGATGTGGCCCACTCCCGAACTGCATGCTCTGAAAGACCATAACACCACCGCCCTCCTCATGGGCTAGCACACAGTTGACTGAACGTCACATCCAAATGGTTAAACCGAATAAATGTATGTGGGAATGCCAACTAGCAGCAGCACAACTGTCACCCACAGAAATGCCCCTTATATGGCCCATGAGGTGGCCATCCCTCTGGTGGAATGAGCCCGCAGGCTCTCCGGGGGCTGCAGTCCACGACTCTCATAAGCCAGGATTATAGCCTCCACCACCCAGTGTGACACACGCTGACAAGTCAGAGCCTTCCCTCTGTGAGAAGGGGCCTAAAATACAAAAAGCTGGTTACTTTACCTAAATCCCTTAGTCCTGTCCAAATAGATGCACAAGGCTCTGACAGGACAAAGTGAATTAAGCCGCCTCTCACTCTCCTCTGCAAAAGGTGGTGGGTGAAAGGCAAGCAGTTCCAGCGTCGGGCAGCTGTAAGCAGACTCGCTAACCTTGGGCACAAAAGCAAGGTGAGGGCGCAACATCACTTTCTTATAGTCAGGGGAAAATTGCAATCAAGATGTGTGGACATCCACTCTCCATCATACAATGGACACTGCAGAATATCTCCCAGGGAGGGACTTGGGGTTGAGCCTCCACTCGCCGTAGAGAGGATTTCCTTTGGAGAGCAAATCCGACCTACTGTTCAATACGCCATCGTTGGAAATCGCGTGTCCTTAACAACCCCTGAGGAACGACAGAAATCAGGCCATCAGCCCTGTCAGGCGGAGGCAGGCTCACAACTACACTGAAAGAGACTCTAGATATCCACCCTTGGTGACTACCTGATGGCTGCGCAGAGAGCAGTTGAATCAAAATCCAGTAGCCAAGTTGCTGAGGAGCCCAAATGGTCTTCACAGGGAAGAAAGCGAGAATGCTGTGTAGGGCAACAAGGACATTAATGAAGGGGGACCGGTGAACTGTGCATCTGAAGATGATTGGTCTGTCTCAGGACAGACGTGGTGTTATTGGAGCCTCCATCATTGGTCACGCCAGGAGGCGCTTCCCATTAGTGAGATACCGAGTGAGGTTTGAGAACAAGCAAGCTGAAGGACTGAGAAATTTTTATTAGCGTATTTCTAATTTATTTCTACTCTTCAAAACTAAACTAAACTAAATAAATGCATACATTTTAGGATGTGACAGTGAACTAGGCTTTGTACGACAATCTGTACTTTTGTTGCCTTGAAAATTCTAACAAAATTAAAAACAAAAAGAAAAGCTGAGAAAAGAAAATCACATCAACACAAACTCAACCGAAGGATCTTTTCTATTCTAGTTCTAGCATATGTTGCTATTTTTAGAAGCCACCTTCATTGATCCACTTGTCCTGTGCACTTGGCAGTTCAACAAATACCAAAGAACTGGTTTAACATTCAGTGACAAAAATGAAGACAGTTTGCTCTTTACTTGTAACAGACATGGTGAAACAATGAGGTTACTGAAGGTTAAATCCAAGAGGCCCTCTCAGCATTCTTTTAGTCTGTGAAAGATTAATGTTTTACATTTGTTGCACAATACAGAGGTGAGAAGAGAACAAGGACCGAGGCAACTGTTTAAGACAACACATGCTCACAAAAACGCTGTTGTTGTAGAAAAGCAGCAGCGTTCAACAAAAGAATGCGTTGAATCCAAATATTTAGTGCATGATGATGGGCCAGCTCACCAAGACACTGCAATCCAAGCTGCTTCACATACAAATAACCTTAACTTCCCCTCTCATGCTGGCTAAATTTATACGTCTGTCGGTAATAA